CTGTCAAAATCTGAAAGCAAAACATCACCCCAGAACCATCAGTGTTTAAGCATAAACTGATGCCAAAACCAAGTGTCTGAAGGCTCAAAAACACACGCCCCATCCAGGAGCAGCAGGAGCCTTTGGTTCCTTCAACACTCGGTGCAGATCAATGCACCAGCAGAGGCGGGGAGCATGACCAGAGTGCTTTTTGCAGTACCTTCTTGGAGAGGACACTGTGGGTGCCCTTCAGCCATGCCTCTGCCCTTCCTCCTCTTGGGCTGAAACCAGCAGCATCACCAATGACACCCACCTACAGTCTGCTTGTGACCTATGAGCCAAAGGGAGATATGGCACCAGGAAACTGCTTTTTTTCCTTTTCCTCAATTCCCAACTCATACAGAGCTGGATCAAAAAAGATCCTTTATCTATAAATTGAAAGGGGTTTTGGTTTCGGTCTGGTATGCAAACACATACATAAGCAAAATACCAAGCAGAGGATTATGTAAAGGCTGCCTTAATCCTGTAAAAAAACAATAGAATAATTTAAAAGGAAAAGAGTATAAGATAAAATGTAATGTCAAGAAAATTATTTCTGGTGATTGCTCTTCCCAGGATTTTCTCTAGGAAATTTATTATTCACCATATTTTAAGGAATATTTGTAACTATTCCAGTTTTTTAAAAATCCCAGAGACTCAATGTTTTACTGACAGTAAACATTGTGCATTGGTGTGATCACCTTCACAGTACAGAAACAAAGAACTGCAAAAGATGAAAGATGGCAAGATGGTCTTTCATGTTGTATTTTTTTGCTTTCTAGCAGATACAATTCTCCTGCTCAGGCACTAAGACGTTTCCAGGTAACATCACTCTTATGTCTTCTTATAAAGTAGCCCACAGAGCTAAACAAAACCTAAAAATGACCAGCAGTTTATGCCCTTGCTGTAGAAAGGAGAGATCTGTTTTAAGAGATAGTACATCACAAGTTGTATAAACACAGAAACTAAAGTAAAAGGTTTCTTTAATTCAATCAGGCCTGTGGCAATACTTTCCAGTGTAATGAGAGCTTTGAACCCACTGTCTCTACCATAATAGAGCCTATGGACTTTCAAAGGACCTTTTCAATTTAGGTTGAAAGGTTAATACATATGCAAATACTATCATGAAATTATTTGTTTATTCCACTTTTATTAAAAGCTAAACATCACTCTAGCAATTATTATTTTGCATCAAATAAGTTTTTTGGTGCTTATCTATAAAGGCTTACATTTTCCACCGTAGTTTGTAAGAAACTAATTACACCAAACTTAAATTTTAAATTATTTTTCATATGTGCAAGATGTGAATATCTGCTGGGAAGCCAGAAAGCTTTGGGAAGAACCTGAACGCGTGGAGATGCAGTGTGATTGGCAGGTCAAAGCCAAGCTTTGATGTGCGCAGCCCAGCACGTCTGTCAGCCAGAACTATCCCATGTAATGAGACAGATTCAGGTCCTCAGCACACAGCGCTCCTTATCGCTGCTGAGAGATTACGCTGTAATCTTCTCCTTTAATTGCAGAAATGATATTGCGTTCCTTGCTCCCCAGTGCACATGGCTTTGGATGAGCTGAGCTGTACTTTCCTACTTATCCCAAGTTACAGAACAGTACCCCTACCACCTACCAAACCCATTTAACTTTAATCTCATTTGCAAACCATCATTCCTATCAAACTCACCACTGCCTTTATAACTTTCTAACATGTCTTTCTAGTACTTCTGTCTCCCACTTTCCTCATATATATTCAGAAGAAGCCAAGCAGTGAGAGCCCCTAAATGACCATAGGTACATCCTGGCTGTATGGGAGTGCAGTCCTGGTGGGCTGATAAAGCCCAGCAAATGACCAGCAGATGGCCCAAGCTATCGAAAAGAGGTCAATAAGGACCCTCAGAGTCAAAAGCAGAAGAAGGAAAGGACACATGGTGATGAAGCGATCCCAGAGGAGTCCAAAATGTGATTCCAGAGAGATGGGGTGTGCATGGCACTGAGGGATATCAGTGTGGCTTGAGGAAGGGGGAGTTGAAGACCAGGATTGCTCTTCAGCAGGCAACGCTGAAGGACGTGGAAATGAGTCCCAGATAGACATCACAGTGATCAAGATAGGAGAGTGGAAATGATACTGGAGAGATGCAACTTAGGGTATCTGTTGTACCATGGTATCTAATGAAGAAAGAAACACTATTCTTAAAACCTCAATTTAAGGATTATTTCTTTGCTAACGGATCCTCACAGCTTGCTTAGTGAGGTTACAGTATCCCAGTTACAGTTTATCCCAGTTCTAATTTTAGCTTTACAGTTTTAGTCTTACCTTTATCTGAACTCAGTTCAGCTTGGGACAAAAGATGAATATTTATGACCACTATTAAGTTTTATCCCCAAATGCTCACTCATTTCTTCCTAAAAGAGCTGTTAGACGGTTTCTCAAATAAAAATTTCAGTAAGTTTCATGTCAGTATAAACTCATAGAGGAAACCAGGAACTATTTCTTTGACCACATAAGAACGCATAACCTTTAGAATTAGCTCTGCTACCACTAACATATTTTTATCTTCTTTCTTCAAAGCTTCTTGACACGGTTAACTAGCTGTGATAACTGGCAATGATTGTGCCTCCATCAAGTGACATCCTGAACTGGGTAATTAAAAGATAATTGTAGCCTCAATACAGTAACTTACAGCACAAAAGATAGATGCATGTATGTTGGGAAGACTTCATATTATTGGGGCAGACTGGAGATTATGGTAATCTAGCATGACCTCCTGTGTGATGGAGACAAGAACATTTCAATGGTAATATTGCAAGGGGAAAAAAAATTTTCTTTCCTGCTCTGTAAGCCACCACTACCAGCCCAATTTCAGAATATTGCTATCTGCAGGTTTTAAAGGCCCAGTTTTGCCTCCCCCTGTCTAATCTATGGCAAACCACATAAATCTTTGAATTGAGGTCTCTGAACCTGACATCGTCCTCAACATTTTAAAAAAAATAATTTCCAGCAAGCTAAATCTAACCTGAACAACACTATCACTTGCTGAAAGGGAAGAGTAGCTTCCAGAGTTTCTGGAGAAAGGGCTTTATGTTTTCTTCAGAAAATGAAACTATGCCATTCCCATCTACTATTTTATTAAACAATACATTAAATGCAGTGGACACTCCTTTCTTTTGCTACTACAGATGGTAGATTTTAAAATACTGTTAATTTTTAAAACTACCAAACTGTTTTAAAAAACATATTGTTCACATGATAGATGTTTTTTGGAAGAGGCCAGCCTTTTTATCTCTCACCACACACTAGAGAAAGAAAATGGTTATGTAGTTCAAAGTCCTGGGAGCCGTCAGTACATCATTGAACATTCATATAAAATAAAGCTTAGAAGGCATTACCATTTTTCCTTCACTGTTTACTTTTTACTGTGACTGCAAAGAAACTGCATTTTAAAAACATATATGCAAGCTTAGGAGTTAGCAAAGACAAACAGCAAAATGGGATTTTTATTTAAAATGTTGCATAACTAATAGCTATAACACAACCGACCCTATAGTTTGGCTGCAGAAAGTTCAAAAGACAGGTCATAGACAGCAGCAGCTTTTCTTTGATATGGATGGGGGCATGCTCAAGATGAGCAGCAGACCTCCCTCAACCATGATGTTTGAGAATTTGTATTGATGAGCAAAATTATGTAGTTCAAACCATGTGTAACTGCTTTCACATCTCTTTGGCTTGCACATTTTCCCAGTACAAAGGTTTGGCTCTTCTTTAGGTCCACAGAATGCATGTGTCACCGGTTTAGTCATTGGTTATCTTACCAGAAACTGAATGGTCAAAGTAAAAAAATAAAGAGCTAGAATATTACCTTTGGCAAGTTAAAAAAGGTCACGTCTTTTTCCTGTCACACGTCACATATTACTTTAATATCTGTCTCAGTGAGACACCTGCTATAACAGCCTTGTTCTACAGATGAAGAAATTTAGGAACAGACATATTCAGTAAATGCACAAAGCTATTTAGGTTCTTAAAATTTTGCTTCATTTCCATTCTTAAATATTTAGATGTGATGAAACATGGCCTGTATATCTTGCTCAGTGAGTCTGCTATATAGGGCCATGATCTCTCTAATGACATGACACAAACACCTGTTTTATGACAATAACTTGCCAGTAATTTGACCACCCCAGAAACTTCACATTGACAAGTGCTTTCCTGCTCTCTTACTCCATCAGATCCTGTTCATCCTGTCAAGAGTATGATGGGAGAGGAGAAATAGCAGTACTACTCCAATTGGAGGAACACAATTCTTACAATTATTTGTAAAGATATAAAAAATGCTACCAAATATCAAACTGCAGAAGGTATAGCTGTAAGTTACTTTCACAAATTTAGAAGAGATTTTCAGAAGCGCTTGTCCTTAGCACTGGCCTGGCTGTTGCTGCTGAATGCAACAGCAGAACTTGGAATATATAATAATACTGCAAAATCTGTCATACCCCCTTTTGCTGCAATACTGGTTTTCATACATGGAAAATAATTGGTTACATGGAATACTTTGATCAGCTATCTGGTTTTAAGGAAGACAGTATTGTTAAGTGAATGGAAAAAGTAGGCTGAGAGAAGCCCACAGGAATCAGTTTTTTGGCCCAAAAACAGTTAGATGCTTTGGGCTAAACGTTTAGTTTATACTGAATGTCACACCATTTAGAAATAGCTGTTTCAACCAGTGTAGTTGCTGAGGCTTTTCTCTCTTTGAATTCAAATAATTCAGTATACCAGTACCAGGGCTGACCAAAGAAGAAGAAAGTGGAGGAAGAAATAAAAGCTGTCTAAAAGCCACCACTGTCTTATCTTATTGACTTTCACTGACTTCCATATTTTGTTGATTACTCAGTCTAAATTAACCTGTTTCAGTAATTGTGTTGCTATTGATTTTCTCTGTGCAACAAAGAATTCATTAACTTGGTTTGCAGATTATAAATTATGCTGGACTTACCAAATCCAAAAGCACTGGAACCACCAACGCTCTGGGAAGCCTGAACACTGGTAGAGGTGTAGAGCCCAGTTACCAGTAAGCCATCAAAGAAGGTACTTGTCGAAATAGTCACTGCAATGAGAGAAATGTAATTATTTATAAGCAGTACTTAAGATCCTACACACTTTCTGTGAACCGACTCTTGCACTTGAATGAGATCCCATCATTCAGTACAGCAAATTCATCTAAATTCCTCTAATATTTATGACATTTCAGTGACTTTAAATTTGCTTTCCCATGTAATTTCCCCAAACAACTTGTTCAGGGTTCAAGCTGTGTGTGCCAAGTTTCATTCTACTCCTGTACAACTTCCTCAGGGTTTACTTAAAGAAAACTGACTGGTTAAGAAGTAAATGACTGGCATTTATTGATGTTTGTCTCCGCTTCTGTTCCTAAATGAATCATAAGTATTGTACCAGTAATCTGCAGCAAGAACCAGACACAAATTGAACATTACAGGATCTGAAATGAATGTCAGAAGGGTGGTCATGGCCATCATTGCCTGGGAAGTTGCCTTTGATAGAATCACAAAACTAGACTATACACTAAAGGCACAATCAGTTAGTAAAACACAGCATTGAAATATATGGCGTGTAATTGTCACAACATTAGAATATAGCAACAGCAAGAAAATAACCAGGGTTATGGTATTGTTCTTTATAAACAGAGTGCCAAGTTATGGTTACAATGCATTATTATAGTATTATACACTGAATTATATGGGAGTCTGAGTCACTACAGATTATCTATATTTAAATAACTTACACACATATTTTTAAGAGATTCTTAAATATTAACAGTAATCACCCAAATAGCATCCACAAATAACACCAGAATCTATATATTCATTATTAGAATTGACAAATCTTGCAATATTTATTTACTTCTTCCAAACACTAAGTCTCACATTTCACTTTGGTATCTTACAGATTGCATCACCGTATACTTATCGGTTTCAGTGACATGGTTATATGCTTTTCAGTTTACTAAGTGACATGTTCAGGTTCTTCCCATTATACAAATGCAATATCTTCTGTGGCCACAATGACTTCTCTAATCCTATAGCTGTATGCAACTTCTGTTGCTTCATAAAAATGTCCTGTCCTTTTTTTTTTTTTCATATTCTAACACTAGGTTGCATACCTCTGATTTGAAAATCAGAACTAATAAATCACACAAAAAATAATTAGATAGCTTTACAATGAATTTTCTTCTTCTTCTCACCTTTATCTGTCTGATATGATCCTTTTCTGTATTATTTGTTGTAAATCTTTACTCACATTTATTTAAATGTGGATAAACTGTGTTGCAAATGTATGGCCTTCCTTCTGAAGAAGTGTCTCATGACTTGTAGACTCATACACCGAAGATACATCCTTATTTACCACACTGGTTCTGCCTTCATATTTTAAACCTTTTTTCCCTGCTCTTAACACACAGAGATCAGTGCTTGGCAGGGACTGCTGATAAACTTTGATCTCTCCCTACATCCCATTCAGCTCCCCATACTGCTCTCCCTTGCCGGGAACATGACGAGGCAGTGACTGGCCATGGAACTGAAGCACGGTACTGCCAGGTGACTGCCAGTACATTCACTGGTTATATACAGTAGGCAGTGATACAGTTGGGGTTTTTTTAATGCCTACGGTCATTCAGTGTTTCATCTGGGTTACACATTGACTTAAACTTACTATTAAATATCTAAAGAATGTTCAAAAATTGACAGTGGCTTGGTTGTTCTGAGCAGAGGAGCAATATTTTATTGTTTAATTTATTTCTCAATTCTTTATATTTATCATCATTTCTTTAATCATTCAATAGTACACTAATTAATTCCTGAATCCAACTTTCCTGCTCCCATGACTCCAAATTTCAGTGTTTTGCAATGTAATCTTCCCTCAATGCTGATGCAGGTTCAGAGCCATATGCTCAATTTTTAAGAGGCTATTTCTAAGACATATGTTAAAAGAATATCAAGAGAGACTAGATTTTTTTAAAAATAGAAGAACTATTATAGAGTGAAAAAGAAAATCAAACAACCAAACAATGAATTCTTCCTGTGTTTGATGATGCAGTGGTGAATAATGCAGAACCTTTTCTTCCCTTTGTGCTTTTAAACCAACAAAGAGGCAAAACATATGTTGAAAAAATATGCCTATACGTTATTTTTGAAGACTTGGCAAAAACAGTCAGTGAAAAGCTTTGACAGAAGGGCACCGGGCCAGTACTTTGCTGCCATTTTGTTTCCCTGTGGGGAAGCATCTTATTCTTTACTGAATAGGATATAATGCAAAATCCTACTGTGAACAGGTGACCAGTTTCTCTCTGGGAAAGAAGTGATATTTTGCAATGCCTGTATTTGATTTTGGACATATTTGTGTGATTGTCAACCCTCATTTTACATGAGCATGTAATAGGTCAATTTTTATTGTTGAAAAATTTCCAACACTGTATGGCTCCCTCATTAAGCCTCTGGGAAACCGCACAATGCCTCTAGCACATTTTTTAAAAACAGAGCACTAGGCTGTTATTATACATGTGTCATACATTTCAGAATAATTTCATAGTTCTTCAAGAGGAAAAAAATTAATCATGACATTCTCAGTGATCATTTTTTTTCTCTACCCAATGGTGAAATACATCAAATTCCCATAAAATGAAAGAAAACACACACCATGCCAAGTGTTAATGACCAAGAACCAGAAAGCTGTGCTAATGCACAGCCCAGCAACAGGACCACGATTTTACATTGAGACTAGGCTTGTTACTGAGGGCTTTCAGCTTCCCCTTCCAAGAGCAACAAGAAGATTCCTCCAAGATCCCCACTGCCAGGCTTTGTTTCTGATTTTACACTGGCTCATGCCATGTACAGCTGATGCCAAATATCCAGCACTTTAGGAGTGAGGACTGAAGCCAAGTCCCACCTGGACCTTCTAAAACATCTGGAGGGGCACACCTGCGTAGTGTACCTTGGGCTGGGCAGGCAAGTGGGGCTCTGGCACAACCCAACCACACACCCCACAGCACCCTATGGGTGACACAGCATTGAGTCACATCTACAAGAAGTCCAACCAGGCTCTGGTCCATCATCCGCAACACCCTTCCTTGGAAGGAGAATTTGGGTAAATGAAGAAGTGGTCTCTTCCTATCACTGGAGACCGCTCAGCCAGTCAAGGGGGTATGCTATACCCTGCCATGTCCCACAAAGCAGCACCCCATGATCAGCCCTCCTGGCTGCTGTTCCGGGGTGAGAGGGAAGCCTCAGCTTGACTCATCTCACCTCTCACACTAGGTATGGGAAGGGAGCTTGTGGAGACTCCATGGGAGCAGGTAGCCCATGGCAGAGGTAGGCAGGAGGCCCTTGGCTGCCTTGAAACAGCCCAGTGAGAGAGAGACTGAGAAGAACATCTTCCTGAGAAATGCAGGAGGGCTGAGCTGGGAACGACTTACTGATCAGGGAAAAGCACACTGCAAATATTAGAGGCAAAGCTGATAACAGCTACTTTAAAAGTTGCCTAACATTTCCTTCTGTTTTCAGCTCCTGAGATCTTTGCCAATTTTTACCCTCTTGGGCTTTCTGGTTTTTTTGTTTTGGGGTTTTTGTTTTTTTTCCATGATAAGTGTCTGCCTCAGACTGATTTAATTATTTAGAGAAAGAGGAATTTCAGTCAAAACACTTCATTTATGTCTGAGACAAGATCAGAGGAAAACGCTGGTGCTGTCCTTTGCTTCCAGTGGCATTTCCACTCTGAAGTGTGAGAACTGTCCTTCAAGTTTGGACATATAATATATACACACACACACACACAAAAAAAAAAAAGTAGAGTTCACACATTCTCAAAGGAGACATTTTATTTTTTAGTATCTAAGTATTTCTGGACATTCTGTCCTCATTGTTAGTGAGTGACTAACTATGAGTGCTCAGAGTTCACTGAAAAAAGTACCATGAAAAATGTTTTACTCCAAATATACTGCTTTGATGGAGCACAAGTGCTTTGTGGAAATATAATTTCTGATGATGTTTTGATCTGGGAAGTTTCTCGGTGTTTTAAAGCAGAAAGTCAAGTCTGCTGATTGAAAGAAAGGGAGAAAGAGGGATCTTTATCAAAAGTCTAACTATTCTGATAAGAAAACATAAATTCAGCAGAATCTCAATTCTTAAAAAGCTGAAAAAACATGCAAAATGTTACAAAAACTGAATTGCTCCTAACGTCTGACCAACACCTTCCCCAATAACTTAGGAGAGAAAAAAGCAGACCTGATGGCAAGAGGACAGTGAGTGTACTAGATGGAGAAGGTGGTAACACTAAAATCAGTACAGGGAAGAGAGGAAGAGAGACTTTTTGGAGAAAAAAACAGGGAGTGATGGGGAAGAGGGTACCACAGCTGGGCAAAGTAGTGGAGAGAAGGTGATGAAAGGAAGAGGATGAGATCTGTAGCTGTGGCCTGGAAACCCTGGAGATGTTCAGAATGAGGGACTTGCACAGTGACCGAAGGGGGAGAGACCGCGTGCAAAACCAACTGTAAAACCCAACAGAGAAGTGTGGGTCAGCCTCACATGTGGGTCAACAGCCACAAGCACAACTCACTATGAAGCTCTTACTCCACCTTCCAAATCAAGTGAACATAATGGATATGATTCTTCCTGTCCAAAATCACATGGATAGGAATACATGGGTTAGGTGGATAACTTCAGTTATTCTGTAATGGCTCCACGAAAAAAATCATATCAGGACTGGGAAATGCAATTTATGTCATCTATCTGGACTTATGCAAAGCATTTGACACTGTCTCACATAAAATCCTTGTCTTTAAATTGGAGAGACATGGATTTGACAGGTGGACCACTTGGTGCATAAATAATTAGCTGGATGGTCACACTCAAAGAGTTGCAGTCAACAGTTTCACGTGCCAGTGGAGACTGGTGATGTGTGGCATTTCTCAGCAGTCAGTACTGGGACCAGTGCTGTCTGACATCTCTGTCAGTGGCATGGACAGTGGGATCAAGTGCACCCTCAGCAAGTTTGCTGATGACACCAAGCTGTGTGGTGTGGCCAACAAGCTGGAGTGAAGAGATGCCATCCAGAGGGACCCTGACAGGCTAGAGAGATGGGCCCATGCAAACTGCATGAAGTTCAACAAGGCCAAGTGCAAAGTTCTGCACATGGCTGGGGCAATCCCAAGCACAAATACAGACTGGGTGGAGAATGGACTGAGAGCAGTGCTGAGGAGGACTTGGGGGTGCTGGTTGATGAGAAACTCAACATGAACCAGAAATGTGTGCTTGCAGTCCAGAAAGCCAATCATATCCTGGACTACGCCAAAAGAAGCATGGCCAGGAGGTCGAGGGAGGTGATTCTGTCCCTCTACTCCACTCTTGTGAGACCTCACCTGGAGTACAGTGTCCAGTTCTGAGGTCCCCAACATAAGAAGGAAATGAAGCTGTTGGAGTGAGTCCAGAGGAAGGCCACAAAGATGATCAGAGGGCTGGAGCACCCCTATGAGGCCAGGCTGAGAGTGATGGGGTAGTTTAGTCTGGAGAAGAGAAGGCTCCAGGGAAACCTTATAGCAGCCTTCCAGTACCTGAAGGGGGCCTTACAGGAAAGCTGGGGAGGGATTCTTCATCAGGGAGTGTAACAACAGAACAAGGGGGAATGGTTTTAAACAGGAAGAGGGTAGATTTAGACTAGATATTAGGAAGAAATTCTTTACTGTGAGAATAGTGAGAACTACCAGAGGTTGCCCAGATAAATTGTGGATGCCCCCTCCCTGGAAGCGTTCAAGGCCAGGTTGGGGCTTTGAGCAACCTGGATTAGTGGAAGGTGTCCCTGCCCAGTGGGGTTGTACCAGATGATCTTTAAGGCCCCTTTCAATCCAAGTCATTTTATGATTTCATGAAATACCATAGAAGTAGCCTCATGAGGCTCCCAGTTCAGTTTTCCACCAAACAAATGTGGAGAGTTGCTGATTGCAACTCCCTGCACCATCAGCATATACACGCCGCTGTGCTGGCCTGGAGTTGGTACAGAGACTGGCTGAGAAAGCACGCAGGCTGGCCTCATCCTGCCAACGCCACGTGTCTCTGGGGAGCTGTGGGGTGTTATTTCCTTGGGAATGGAGGGAATGTGGCAGCCTCTCTCCAGAGATCCTTCACACTTCCCGTGACAGGTTTCTGAGAGAGCCCTGGAGTTGGTGCCTCCCGTGGGATGATGAGGAACAGCGGTGCCTCTGGCAATGCCAGAAGCTGACATGCTTCGAGGAGGAAGCAGGTCAGGAAGAAGGAGGCTGGCAAAGACGCTGCTGAAATTATACCACAGGTAGAGGCAGCAGCATAACAGGAAAGACAAAGTATGTTTTGAACTGTAGTTATTTTCAGATATTTTTAAGAAACTCATGCTATTCTTATGAACATAATTTTCACTGTTTGCAGTGTTACGCACTACACATACTATATAGTATTATGGAAATCTATTAAATTGTGTAATTGCTTAAAATTTGCCTTACATTCCCTTGAGAGACTGATTTACTCTCTCAAAAGATAGCTGCATTTTGATGGATACTCCAAATACTCAAAGTACAGTCAATGCATGTAAACCATAAAAGGCAGAAAAACTGCCAAGTGGAGGAAGAGGATCATCTCGGGAGATATCTGCCACTGACAGGTCTTACCAAATTTGGCTGCTCTTTAGCATCAGCTAAATACCACCAGGAGGGCTGAAATTCCACAGAATATGCAGCTAATGTTGATGACAGTCACAAAGTTAAAAAGCTTTAAGGCAAGGAAAAGGACTAGATGTAGAGGTGCAGATATGACACAAGAAACAGCATGAATGGAGATCTAACAGAGTTCAAGAAAGAATTACTAAAGGCCATAGCCTTTGAAGCCCCATATGCTGTCTATGTGAGTCAAAACACATAGCCGCATTATAGAAATGCACTTCTCTACAATGTGAAGAAAACAGAAAATAATTTTAGTTTCTGAAATGGGATCACCACAGACTTCCCCAAATGATACTTCCTTGCATCAAAGTGGGGACAGGCATTTTTTTACGTTCTTCTCAAGAGCAAAGCCAGTTCCTTATAATACTGTAATACTGCATCATTGCACACCTGAGCCACGGCTGGAAACCTTCATCTTACGAAATAAAAAAAAGAATTACTTCAGTGTAAGAAATTTGTTTGGCTCCTCAAAAAATGTATCAGCCTCTAAGTAACGCAAGTCAGGTGTGCAATGGCACTGTTCAGAGAGACCTCTGTTCCTTCACAGTGCCATGGCTTTCACAGAAGACTGCAAAAAGAAATGCAGACTAGCATCAAATACAGCAAAGACTGTCATCATCACACTATATTCAGTGCCAGGCAGAGCTTAATGTTCCCTAAAGCAGCCAGCAATGTGAATGCAATTCAAAGGCAGTGTACTTGGGACCACCTGAGCTCACATGTTTGCATGCAAACCCTGACTTCCCTTATACAACTGAAAAGATCAGGAAGAAGAGCAAACCCCTGAGCAAGTTGGAGGATTAACCTGGGGGACCAGCACTGAGACACTCCATCCTCTGGGTCTCATTTTCTGTCGCCTCATCAGCAAATATTGGGTTTGGTTAAACTGTACTCATGCCAATCCTGTAGGCACTAGGCACACAACGTGCCACAAGGATAACAACAGGCACACCAAAGCTAGCACACCTTCTGCAGTCACCACTGCTAAACAACACCTCTCTGAATAGCATCTGGCAGTGGTCACAACTATGGTCAAACCACCTGGCATACAGTGTGCTACCATGTCACGCCAGAATTGTCATCTGGTGCTGCACGTTCTCCCTGCAGCTGAGACCTACCCAGCCCATTGGAGTAGGCAGAGCAGAAACGGCTCCGCCATTAGTACATTCCTACCACACCACCAGGACTGGTGAGAGTCCACTCCACTGTAGGGTCTCACACTGCCTCCAGCACCAGCCTCACCGGTGGAGCTGGGATGGGAGAAGGGCAGCCTAGGGAGTGCGAGGAGCTCCAGCAAGGACATGTGCTGCAAGGGCTGTCTGTGTCTCAGCATCTCCTGGCCAACCCGACTTGATCAAAAGGCCACA